TCTGTGCCCGCTGCAGACCTTCCCGCAGAGACCACTGCGCCCAAGCAGGGACAGAACTTATGGTAACACGTGCTTTTGTAGCTGTGAAGCACTCAAAGCATAGGGGGCAAGCCAACTAGATAGATTTCTTTTGATAGACCCGACTATAGATCTATTACTCTCTCAGTACTTAACAGTTGGATTAGTTTAGCAGCTCTCCAGGCTCTGTTACTGATATTATTAATAGGGCAGCCAGCCCAAGGGCCAGTGGAACCATTATAATCAACCTGATCAATCAGCCTTGAAGCCAGTATAAATTAAGCCACTAAAATGCTACTTTGATGTATTGCTTTTTAAATATTTTATACTTGGAAAAATTGTTAATTTAAAAGAATTACTGTGTGCTTTTTTCAGTGTTGGTAAGCATTACTTTAAAAGGCAAAAAAAAAAGGAGGAGGGGAGCAGTGACCTAGCTAAGTGTATCTAGGTTTTCTTTCACGGTTCATCTCAGCACACCCGAACTGTGGCACCTGGGGTCTTTGAGCACATGAAACGAAAGCCTTCGCTGAAATCTTTGGCCACAGGCCTATGTCCCGCGTGCTCTCGTGAAGAGTGAGATGTGCAGGGCCATCCCCCAGCTCTTTGTTGGTGTCTTCTTCCTAGGCTTCACAGCAGACTGTGGTGGTGTCCATTTGTTTCCCTATAGTGCCTTATCATGGGATTGGGTTTTGTTGCTGCTGATAATTATAGCTGAGCAAAATTATTCTTCCATGGTGACAGCCTGTTATCCCTTTAGTGCATCCCAGTGCCAGGCAGTAGCCACCAACGTGTCTTCTAAGTGGATCAAATCTAAACACGCTACCTTTGAGCGTGTTTGATTGTGACTTGCTCCAGCGATTGGCCCTACCAGTGTCTTTTATCTTTAAAGAAATTCTCCTGTGTCGACTGTGCCCTGAGCGGTAAGGACTGATCAGCAGTGTCCCCATGCCAGAAAATACTGGCTACAGCTTTACCTGCTAAACTGCCTGTGAAGGACTCTTCAGTTTTTAGATAACCCTGAGAAGTAACTATCACAAAGTACTTGCTCCTGCAGCTCTCTTGTTAGCAAGTGACTTTTCCCCGGAGTTTTCCACTGCTGACACACAAAGTGGGGTTACTTGGTCTTTGATAAATATCACCAGTCGTGAGCTTAGCTCCAAAGTGTAGTTCCACTGCTGCAGGTCAGCGCTGCTTTCCTGAAAGTGTTCCTGCTCCCCCACCAGGAACTGTCAAAGAGGCTGACATTTGTGGATGTCCTGATTCATCTAAACCATCAGCATTGAGTGCCGACTCTTTGTATTGCTCTAGCCCTTCTCTTTCGTTGCTGGCAGGTCACAGGAGATAGCAGAGTTTCTGCTGCTGCTGCCTCCACTCTGTCCAGCACTGCCATGACAAATCTCCACCCCTTTCTCAGCCCGGTCCTTTGTGCATCTTGTCACAGGGTGAAAATTCAAGCAGCTGGGCTTTCCGAGGGAATGGGTGCCGAACAGGAGGTCGTAGAGAACAGCACGAGCCACAGGGAAGTCCTCTCTGCTCAAACTGCCTCTTCTAATGCTTGGTCTCTGTTTAGCAGAGATGGCAAGATGTGTTCCAGTAGAAAGACAAATTATATAAGAAAAACAGTACCTTAAATTGGTAGTGGATATGGCTATAAACTGGAGACAGAATCGAGCCAAATGGGATGAATTAAGTAACAGAATCCCCGCGACTCGTCATTCCAGGCCAAACTTGAAAAAACATCGTATGTGATATTACAGTGTTGAGTTGCTCAATCAGGTTGGCAACTCTCAGCGATGTGCTGGGAGAGATCAGAGTGGTTACAAGGGTAGAAGTGCTTTATAGACTTAACTTGTCATCCAGTCCAGGAGGAGCAGCTCTTTGAACCAGATCCTCTGCGCTCTCAGGACTGAATTACATTCTGTTACTAAGAGCTGCTTTATATGAAGTGACCATAATATGCAGTATTCTCCTTTTTTCACAAAAGAGAGCAACAAAGAGAATGAAGGAGCTTGTTTAAAAAAAAAAAAAAAGCTTAAAGTGGCAGCCAAAAGCCTAAAATGCTTTCAGAGAGATTGTCTTGAAGTTTCCGTACTAGATGGTCAAAGCAAGGGCTGCCTCTTACCTTTGGAAAAAAAAGGTTTGAGGAAACTTGGAAACAAAACAGCAGTAACAATAACAAAAGATTCTCAGTATGGTTCACATCAGGATAGGGATGCTGTTAAAAGTAAGAAGGCCTACTTAAAAACCGTGGTTGAGCCTAACTGAAGGAAATAAAAAGAATAATAAACCAAACTACAGACTAAGGGCAAAACCTTTTTTTTTTCCTTTTCCCTTGGGGAACAATCTTACCTCACAAGATCTGTTGTTACAGGGCCTGCCTTAGGATAAGAAGGAAGTTGTTCTCGTGAGTGAATAATTGGCTAAGAAATTTGAAAGAAATTACAGAAGTACTCTTAATATGTTCAGCGGGGAGATGGAGAGTAATGTTAGAGGAGAATGGGGGAGTCTCCTAAAGAAAGGGGATTTTCTTTTGATACAGAAAAAAAAGGAGTCAGGATATTAAACTAGTAACTGACAGTTTTGAAACAGAGAGGAAAGTACTACTTGAGATCATACAGCTGAGGTGTGCAGCTCACTGCTACCAGCTGCTCTGGATCTTCAGATTCGTACCCGTTCAAAGCACCGGTTGGACAAACTGAGTTCATCGGGGAGCGTTAAGCACAAAGGTTCGTGTCCTGGCCCACAAGGAAGTCCTCAAACCAGCAGATGCTAAAACCTGCAGGGGCAGGTCAAAGAGATGTCACTGCAGGCCCGTTCTGTCCTTTTGCCACTCAGAAAGAAGATACTGAGCTGGGTGGGATTTTTTTTTCTTGTATGCCACAGTGTCTTTGATTTCTGTCCTTTTTAGTACCTGCTGGGAAAGTCTGCTAACAATCACAGCACTCGCTCATTTTTTACTGAGAGTATCACGCCTGCGTGCCTTGTTCTGCCAAGCAGGTTGGCGGTGTCAGGGTGTCGAGGTAAAGCAATGCAAATGGAAGATCTGAGCCAGATTTAGGCCTTCCTGCCCTTCGAGTGAGCAGGGGGCACAACGGCAGCTCTTCAAAGACAACGACACCACTTCTAACTTAGCGTTCTTCTGTGCTGCCTGCGTGGCTTTCTCCGAAGTGACAGGGCCACCTGAAGCCGTAAGCAGTAAGCTTCCTCAGCTGAAAGACTGTTCTTTAAAGCTCTAGAGCTGCAAAGAGCCTGTTTGCTAAGTCCCTCTCTGACAGCTGTCACCACTTCCAGGTAAGCTTCCCCAAAAAGACAAGTGACAACCCGATAGCTGTTATTTCAGGGGATAGCCAGTAACTAGAACTTCCCTCTGCGGAAATCCACATTCCTATTACTGTGTTCCCGTTGCCATTGATCTCTCCCATCTCAAGGACTCCCCTGAGAATAGATGGTTGTGGAAGAGTCTCCTCCTTGGCTGCTTTTTGCGCATTGTCCTTGCACACCCCGAGAAGCTCTGAGACCACAGTGAAGTCCTTGGATATCTACACCCCCTGTTGTTGGGATACAAGGACTTTTTCAGCTATAACTCATCACGTTAGCATGTGGTGCATAGGAAGTGTCATTTCTTTGTGTTCTGCTTTAACTCCTGCTCTTTTTTTTTTTTTTTTTTCCCTAATAGTACATCTAACATGGGATTGAGAGTAGCCTCATGGTGCACATAGAGCATCTTTAGCTTTACCCTTTTATGCTCCAGAGCGATGAGACTTTGAAATGAACACCAAATTAACTCTGTGAATGGTTGTATTTCACAGTCCTGCCCCTTTTCTCCTGGAGGATGGGAGCTGGCAGGACATTGATAAAGGGAGAGATAGATCCTGTAGTTCTGCCAGTGTCTCGTGGAAGTGGTTTCTGCTTTCAGTACTTTGTCCCCCAAAAGAAGAGGGCCCAGTGTTCTGTCCTAAAAGTGTGGAGGCTGAATCGTTGTTCTCATTCAGAATCGTAAATGCTTGGTGACTTCTGTCTTCTCCAGACAGATGGACCAGTCCCGTTTCTAACGTTGTGCACGACTTCCACTGATGCTGATGCTTATTAAAAACTCTCCCCTTTTAAAACTTCTGGGCACATGGTCCCTGAAAAAGTCTTTTGTCTGTACCGTAGTGCTTTGTGAGCTATGTACATACGGGTCTTCCCTGCAAGCACCACGGGTTAATCACAACCTTGGCAGTGTGTGGGTATGCAGGAGACTTCTTTGCTCATCCTGGTCAGAAAGCAGTTGAATTTTGGAAACAGTGGCATCTCTGCAGAGTAACTCCCGTTGTTCTTCATCTATTAGGAATACACCATGGTATGGCGGGTCCCCTCAGCAGACAATTTGAGTTAACCATGAGTGGGTGCTGACAGACTCCATTCTCACGCCTATATTCTACAGATGGAGTTCCCCTGTTTCCACCAACCCTCCAGAGCAGGTACTGATCCTGGGCTCCTCTAGATGTTGTCCTCTTGATTTCTTCATTCCCCTAGTCTGCAGTCCAGGTTTTATACCTTTCTCTGTCCCTTGCAGCCTGTAGCCTGAGAACAGGTAGGAATATTCAGCCTGAGTGAATACCGAGAGCTCCTTTTGACTCGATGCTTGTGCCGTTCGTCCCCTCTGTTTTGATTGTCGGCCAGGCTGCCGGCTTGGGCTGCCTGAAATGTAAGAAAAGAGTCTAGGCTGTCATTTAGGGATGCAGGAGGCCCTTACCCCAGGCAGGATTTCCTCCTTTCAGATCAGTTTGAAGACCTCCATCTGGTCTTGGCTCTACCAAAGGCATCTTTCCCATCACTCTGGATTGTGTTATTAAGCTCGGTGTCGGGCCACATTAAGGGCACCAGTTGCCTTCCCCTCCCTCTTATCAAGACCCACGTAGCCCTATTGTCTGCCCCGTTTAAAATGCCAGCCCTGTCATGTCGTAGCTGTGCTCCCAGCCTTGTGCTGGTTGAGCCCTAGCTGGAGGTGCAGGTGGTTCCTTCAGGCAGTGGGGAGCGCGTGGAGCTAGGTTGAGCACCGGGAGCTGTGGCTGCACAGAGCAGCAAGGTGTCACCGATCAAAGTAACACAGGTACCTCTGTGGTATGTTTATGTTTTGCACATTTGAGTTTAAGCTGATGTAGAAGAGCTCCCACTCCCAGAAATCCCTGTTCTTACTGTCAGGGTGAATTGGGAAGACTCAAGTGCCTGTTGCAGATGTTCTCCCTTCCCTGTCCCGTTTCCTTTTCAGCAGG